TAGGAAAACACGAAAAGCGCAGCTCGGCGCAATTCGATTATACTTTATTCGTACTATCGCAACAAGTTTTATATTATTCAAAATGCGTCCATATTCTTATTCTGTCGCAAATCCAATGGCCATCATAAAACTCTTCAAGTCTTGTTTTCTAAAACTTTTTGTCCCATTTATTTTTCCACAAGATATTTCTAATTGGATGATTAAATCTGTTGTGTTTAATAGTTCATATTTCATGCTTCTATCACCGCGATTACAACTTGTTTGTCTAGGCAGAGGTTTAGTTGGGTATTGGAAGGGATTCTTTAATCACAAGCGTTGCCGAAGGAGATGTATATTCAAGCTTAGACGATATGAATTTTGTATATCCTAAATCCCAGACGCACACACCTTTATTATTAAATAAAGTGTTTGACCTTTTAAGAAAATGTGGTCTTTGTTATTATAAGTCTTTATTGTCTTTCTTATCAAATTTTTTATCCAATTTCACAATGAAAACCCTGAATGGACAAACTGTGTTATGAGTGAGATTTTTAAATTATCAAGTGCTCCTCACGTTGGGAATAAGTTTTGCGGTATACATGCCGAAAAAGTTCTCACAATTTTCTTTTATTTGTATTTGCAGGCAGTTTTGGACAGTCCAGATGTGGGCGACATATTTTTGGAAATAAAGACCAGATTTCCTGATTCAAAATCGAAGTTTTGTAAATCGATTACCTCTCTAAACTCCTGCCTTTCGTGTAGGCTATAATAATATATATATTTTCTCTTTTTCTTTTTTATACTTTTACATTCTTATTGATAATGAATGCTGATCAGTTCTTAGATTTCTTTACATTTGTTAATAAAATTCTTTGCAAACATTCTTTATCGCATATTCATAAGTTTCCGTGCACATATCAATGCCGAATATTAAATTGAAATGTTATCTGCCTTGTGAGAACTTTTGTATCGTGTCTTTACAAAATTATTAAAAATATTGCGATATCACATATTCTATTGTCGTCATTAATCGTAAATTTGCCAGTGTTAATAATAGTTTTCGAAAATTTGAGTGAGTAAATCACATAGATGATGCTTATACACAGTTTATAGCTACTGATTTGTGATTGCATTAGCATTAATTCCTCTTGCTCGCGCAGTTGAATGCGTTTTATGTTGATGCAAATTCATCTTGAATTTCCGAAAACTAGTTCTTAAAAATTGTAAATATTATATAAATAGACCTTGAAGGAATGGACCATTGTGTGTCTATTGTATTTATACATCATATAAATAATATTTATGACTGAACGTATAAACTGAGTATAATAAACGTAAATGTCCTTTATTTATACTTGTATTATCAATACCATTAAGTGAACTGCTATTATTCGAATAAGCATATGTTACATATACATATATAAAATCATACTTAAAATTATGAAACGTTCTGTAATCATTTATCGGTGCAAAACGAAATTAATATGCGTTATTTTTAAGAATATTTAAAGTGCACAATTGCAGATGCATTTTGATGAAAATATTTTGTAGTATAATTATACATAAATTGAAAATTAAACTTATAAATTAAAAACATAATAGATATATTAAAACGTTAATTATTTAAGATCGTAAGTATTTATCATATAACACAATTACTATATATTGTAAAATATAGTAACAATTATTTTATACTTTAAGAATTTTGCACGATTTGTAGATTATCTACAATGAGTTTAAAAGGCACGTTTTATTGTATTCTCTTATATTTTCAATTACATTACTATATGAATTACTGTATAAATTCTGATTTCAATTATTCTAATTTTACAAAACATACATATGATGAGTCTGTATTTTGTAGTTAAACTAGTGTACACTCTTTTAGAAATTAAAATGAGATAAATATATGTTTAACATTTAGCAAAAGCGAGAAAGAGTTCTAGTATAGGAATAAAAAACAGATTAATTGTAAGACTCGATTGCACCAACAACGTTACTTGGACTTTAAGCGAATTTTAAAAATCTTTGAAACTTTACTTAAAGTCAAACGTTTAGTGCAATCGGATCTTAATCTGTTTTGGAGCTGAAAAAGAAACAGAAAAGAAGAGAGTTTTAAACCTCGCTTAAAGCAACGTTTGTGCAATCGGGCGTAAATATATACAATGTACACAATATACAACATATACAATATATGCAACAATTTACAGCATATTGATTTTCGAAACTTTTTAATTATTTTATTTTATTTTATTTTAATTATATAAAACGATACTTTATATACAGAAGAAGGATTAAAGCTAATCTATGATATTGATAGAAATGGACATAAACTTTAATCACAGTTAATTTATTTTATATTTTTTTCTAATTTATCTTTTATTTTAAAAAAATTCTTATATATGTTTAATATATATAACTAAAGATAAAGAAGCTATAAATATCGAGATTAAAGTTCTCTACATTTTTTAGAATGGACTTAGAGTGACGAATCTTTATCAGCAATTAACTTATTAATTATTAATTAAGTAATCTTTGCAATAAAAGGTAGAGATATTAATGTTTTGACGTGCGAATAAATTATATTATGGATAGTTGGAAGGAATTATACAATTAAAAGTTTTACTATATAAAAATGACTGCACCGCTTTATTAAATTAATCGAAATTTGGTCCAAGCCCTAAAGACTTATATCATTTTCGGAATCATATAAAATCGATCAATTAGCGTTTTCGACCTGAGCGTATTGCACCGATTTGGATTAATATATGCTCTTTGATAGAGCATGTAACGTCAACCAACAATAGAGCTCGCTATTATTGATGTTCTTTTAGATTATCCAATCAAACGTTTAGACCTAGAAGAATACACCAATAGTTGCAAGCGTTTAGTGATATGATGAATCCGCTAATGCTCATTTCCACCAATGCAGATTAACTTTAATCTCGGTTCAATTTGCTCTTCTAAAAATTAGAAAAAGATTAACAGTAAGTTAAACCGAGATGTTAATCTGCATTGGTGGAAACAGGCATAAATGCGCCCTGTGCCTTGTGTTCGGACTTCGGGAAGTAAAGCAAGAGTAGTAAAAAGTAAGAAGTAAAAAGAACGAACTTATAGTCAACAGTTTCAAATTAGGTTAGGTTCTATTTATATTTTGGTAAAGGTTCAATGGAGAGTGTAAGGTATACAAAAGTATTGTCTAAAAATACAAAAAGTCACTGCTTTTGTGACTTTTGTTTTTAGACAATACTTTTGTGTCTTCAAAGCAATAAGAAAATAATTGAACTTTCCAAATTTTGCGCTATTTTTCTTTACGGGCGCATATTTATGAAAACGCATGCGCGTGTGCAGCGCATGCTCGCATTGCGGAGTTGTATGTACACGTGACCATGATAGATTTCCTCTAACCTAATTAGTCGTGAACTTTAACGATTAAATATATCTCGGTTCGCGGGGCAAAGCGACGCTTTTTTCTGCCAGATTCTTTTGTTTTATGCAAAAACGCTTCGAATGAGTATAATTTCGATTTTGAGATGAACACCCTCCATTGAATCTTTATCGAAAAACGCGCGAATAAATATTAATCAAAATGTCTAAGCGTCCAGAACTTATGGCACCACCTGAAGTAGTAAGTTGCAAACTTTATTGTGACTTTACATTGTTAACTTTTTAACTTACATTGACTTTATATATAATTTTACGTATAATTAGTACAAATTAAAGAATTGTATTAATAAATCAAAGAAGAAGCTAATTTCATTTTTTTTTGTAACAGTATTATGATGAAACAGAAGCTAAGAAATATACTCAAAGGTATGTCTCAATTTTTATATAAGTCATGTATTTAAATTTATTATTTTTGTAATAACATCTTTGTAACAATATTCTTTTTTTACAGTTCTCGTATGATAGAAATTCAAGAACAGATGTCTGAACGTGCTATAGAACTTCTTTTGCTACCTGAAGATAAGAGCTGCTTACTTCTGGATATCGGATGCGGATCAGGCCTTAGTGGTAGCGTATTGGAAGATCAGGGACATGTATGGATGGGTGTTGATATTTCTTCGGCTATGCTTAGTAAATATTTTTTATTTTTTATGTGATATAGTTTAACAGTATTTTCTGTAGTATTAAATACATATATATATGTATATAAAATCATATATTGATTTATTATTTTAGAGGTAGCTATTGAAAGAGAAACAGATGGTGACTTAATCCTAGGAGATATAGGTCAAGGATTGCCATTTAAAGCTGGTACATTTGATGGAGCTGTTAGTATCTCTGCCCTTCAATGGTTATGTTATGCTAGCAAAGCTTCACATAATCCTACGAAACGTTTATATCGATTCTTTTCAACATTATATGCATGTCTGACAAGAAGCGCAAGAGCAGTATTACAATTTTATCCAGAGAACAGTAAACAGGTTGAATTAATCGTAACACAAGCTACAAAAGCTGGCTTTTTTGGCGGTGTGGTCGTTGATTTTCCAAATAGTACAAAAGCGAAGAAAATGTTCTTAGTTTTAATGACTGGAGGAGCTGCTGCACTTCCAAAGGCATTAGGCGTAGATAACGAAGATACACAAACCATCTCTAATTCTAAAAGGTTCAAGTTTCATGTTTTTATTATTCTCATTATCCTGTAAATTGCAATTATTTTTAATATTTTTTAAATATTTTTAAACTGTATTGTTAACTTTCCAAAATAGTCACTTTTTTACGTTTTTTATAAAGTATTTTATGTTATAGGGAATATATAAAGAAAACCAGGGGTAAACCATTGAAGAAGAGTAGGGAATGGATTTTAGAAAAAAAAGAAAGACGGCGACGGCAAGGAAAAAAAGTTAGAGACAATTCCAAATATACTGGACGAAAGAGATCTGGTCGATTCTAAGATGTATTTTAATTAACATAAAATACTTTTCAACAAGTTTGAATTATTATAAATAATAAAGTTCGTAAAATCTTTATTTTTGTCTATCAATATCAATCTAATATTTGAAAATAATATGAACATACTAGCTTCTTTAATAATAAAAAGGTGTTTAATGTATGTGTGTGTGTATATATATATACATATAAATAATAAAAGACCATATATATGTATACATGGTCTTTTATTAAATTTTATCTATTTCATGTGTAAATATTTTGAATACATATTTATTATTAAAGATACTATCACGTTTATATTTTCATATATTAGATTGACGATATAAAAAAAAAAGAATTAATTAAAATGTTGTTTTATCGACTTAATTATATTTACAATAAATTATTTAAAATTATTATGTAAAGTGTTTTATGTTAATGAAAATACACTTACATTATATAAATGTGTATATATATATTATATATATATTTATAGATTCCTTCATTTTAATGTTAAGAATTCTTAATAATATTAATATTATTAGTAATACATTATTATATAGTAAGAAACAAACAATAGATTCAATATTTTATATTATTCTTTAATTAAATAACATAAATTGTGAAATACTTTCTTGTACTCCATTAGGTAATACTTTTTCTAATTCTTCGTTATCCAACCACTGATACTTTACATCATTGGTAATATCTCCATCTATGTATTTTGCTAAGAAATAAAATATTTTAGCACCGTAACTTCCTTGTTCGCAAATCTTTTTAGGATATTTATATTTATAAAATCCGATAGGTGCATTACCATAAAACTTTACTTTTATCTTTGTACCACATGCATCTTGTAATACTCTCTCTGCAGTCTGCAAAAGAAAAAAAAATTTAATCATATTTTTATTCCTTGTTGAAGAGAGAGAGAGAGAGAGAGAGAGAGAGAGAGAGAGAGAGAGAAGAGAGAGAGAGAGAGAGAGAGAGAGAGAGAGAGAGTATGTGTATTTACATATATAAAATTAGTTTTACAAAAATACTAGAAACATACTTGTCTCATAGTCTCTCCTTCCTTTCGAATGCCTTGTGGAGGTATCCAATAATGTGAATTGCCTATTCTTTGTTGTATTAATAAAAGTAAATTTTTGTCCAATTTACGTTTTAAAGTTGATGTTACGTCTTGTTCGTCAAATTCTAAAATAATGCATACAAATAAATTATTAAGAAAAATAATATTAAAATCATACAATACATGAAATGATTTTTTTTCATGACTTCTGAAATAAATATCTGCTTTTTTTATAAAATGCTATGTTCTATTGTACAGAGAAAATTAATGCATACTCGTAATTGTTGATGCAAATTTAAAATTGTTTAATTCCTCTTGATAACTATCTTCAAAATCCTGTATAGTTTGTATCAAGGTATTAGTCTCTGTTTCGTCTTCCTTGCTGCTTAACTTTTTTGGTTTCTCATTTTCTTTTATCAATTCATGATCAGATTTTAAACTATTTTCATATTCAATTTTTTTTAACATATTATAAAATTTCAATTCTATTTCTTGCATTGACTGTATTATAACTGGATGACGTTCTAAACAAACAGCACTGTATAAATCCCATTTTTTTGTAGATGTGATGGTACTAAATGTCCGAGTATCCCGGTGTCGAATGATAGTGAGATATACTGTAGCAGCTTTTTTTGATGTATCTGTATAAAAAAATTAATATAATTATAAAATATTAATGCATAATTATAGATAACATTTTGTTACATAGCTAAAATAACATTAAATTATCAAATTGAAGGTTAATAATACACAGTTAGAGTTACCGCTTGTGTAAGTAAATGTTATTCAATATTTAAATAGAAGAAAAAATAATTAATTGTGTTTACTTACCCGGTAAAATCTGATTTAAACTATACGATCCGAAAGATTGGAAAATTTGTTTGAACATTTTAAGTCTTTTTTTTTATTTTTGCACAAGATTGCACTAAAACTCTCTTTCCTGCTTTCGTTAAACATAAATCTACCTTATTTTAAGTTCCAAAGTGTTTACTGATGTTTATTAGTTCAGTCAGAAAACAGACCTTTTATATTATTATAATTATTTCATAACCTAAACAAAAAATTGCAGAGAATTGGCCTCTCTCTGACCTAACCTGACAAATGTGATCGTTACGATCGATTCGATATCTTGACCATTCGACTTCGAGAATCGCAATATCGTCTTTCGATAGATTTCGTATTGCCATCATGGACCACGCCGCGATCATTTCATTCATGCTTTAAAAAAAATGTATGCAAAATGGATAATTTTTTAAATACGCAACTATGTGTTTCTTTTACTCCATTTGATTTATCTCATTATTCTGTTCACAAAAGTATTAAGGTACGATAATGAAAAAGTCAACAGTTTACGAGTTATTTAACATTTTGTGTCAATATGTACCAAAATAATATGTAAAATATCTCGTAAACTATTGGTTTTTTGGTATCTCTACCTTAATACTTTTATATGCAAAATAATTAGAGGAATCACGCTATCTAAAAAAAATTACATAATTCCATTTAAAAAATTAAAAAGGTGACCTTCACGTAACCTTCAGAGGACTATCAATCGATGACACCATCTTATGTCCCCCTTCGAGTCAAACAACTTTTGTCTGAAAAATTTCTTTCTAAAATGCTCTGCTTTCGAGATAAAAGGGGTGGACGGTTGGTCTGGGACACCCGGTATATATAATATATATTATATAAACTACCTAATACAGGGTAAAAGTACAAATTATTATCTGTAATGAAATTAGAATATCCTTGAAGGCATTCATGTGTGGGTACTTCGTCCTCATTACGGTTTAACATTAATCTACACGTTTGAACAAGAGACTAAAAAAAATATTTTAGAAACTATCTTATACAACAATATTATTTATTTTACAACAATTTATTTTAACAATTTATTTATTTCGATGCTTTTTGCGTACGTTACATAAAATATTCTTGACATAACTTATATGATTAAAAATAACAGATTTATATATACATTGTATCACAATCATAAAGCGGGGAGCACAGACTTTTGCATAACGCATAAACCATATACATAAAGAATTTGATTGGTCCATTGACTCATGCATAAGAAAATGGGCCAATGAAATTCCTTATGCACATGCTTTATGCGTTATGCAAAAGTCTGTGCTCCCCGCTTAAGTCTTTTCATTGTAACTGCTCCCCGCTTAACGCGCCTTAGTTACGCTGCTGGCAACTGATGCCATGAAAGATCCCCTAGGATACACTTACTCTATACGCTAGAGAGATCTGAGCAATCCCCACAGCTGCACGCAGGTTGGAATTTGGAATATTGGAATTGGAAATCGCATCACTGCAGACTGCTTATGAGATCTGAGCAGTGTTGCCGTTTTTAGTACAAATGTATTTTTTTATTACATTTTGATCTGTTTTAGTACGTCAATACAAAATACTTTAAATCTATTACATTTTAGAATTTATTAGAATTTTTTAAATGTGTTGTAAATTGTTGTAAGAATTTAAATGTACGCAGCCAATGTAAAAACAGTAAAAGTAAGATTAAAATTATTCGAAATTGTGTTAAACCAAAGAGGTTTCTCTCTGATAAAACTATTATAAGATCCTGCAAGATTCCAAAGTGTACACTCGAGGATATGATATTAATTATATGTATAGTGGGGACAAGTAAGCAATTTTTTGTTAATTTTATGTTTTCTTCGAAGTTTTTCTGAATGTTCTGAACATCTTTGCTTATTTCATGCTGCCTGTAACTACTCAATGTACAGTAAGTAGTTTAATATACTTATAATTTATATAATTAATTTCACAATCTGAGTTTTTATTTAAAGCCCATGACACATAGAAAAACGTAAGGCCGTAAACGTAATCAGTAAGCGAATTGACCAATCGCAGTTGAAGGTGCTTTTTCATGCGCAGCACGCTGCAGCAGCAATTCGTTACTATTGGTTAAGAATTTTATGTAAGCTAGATGACGCACTTCCGGCGCAAAATACATTTTGCCGCAGTTCGTTGAAGTTGAACCGAACGAACAGCAAGCAGCAAGCGGCAAAATCGAGAAAGCGTACAATATGTCCGTCGTTTCATTATGAAAATATTATTTATTGCAATAAATATTAGGAAAATAAACGAAAAATGGCTTCGGATAAGGTACGGATACATGTTTGTAAATTAGATCATTCTATACTTTACCACAAATTTGAAAAAGTAAAGTGTAAAGTATAAAATAATCTAATTTACAAACATTCGTACCTTATCCGAAGCCATTCTTCGTTTATTTTCCTAATATTTATTGCAATAAATAATATTGCCTCGATTTTGCCGCTTGCTGCTTGCTGTTCGTTCGGTTTAACTTCAACGAACTGCGGCAAAATGTATTTTGCGCCGGAAGTGCGTCATCTAGCTTACATAAAATTCTTAACCAATAGTAACGAATTGCTGCTGCAGCGTGCTGCGCATGAAAAAGTACCTTGAGAATGTAAGCCGCCGCCGCTTACGTTCTCAACTGCGATTGGTCAATTCGCTTACTGATTACGTTTACGGCCTTACGTTTTTCTATGTGTCATGGGCTTAAGTTATTTATGAACTATATTAAAATGTAAATCAAATTATAAATAAAATACATATACAAATTGAAATAAGTATAGTACATATGTAGGTACACATTTAAATCAATAATAAATATATATTTGTATTTATATTTTATTTCGTGCTTCTTTCTCTCTTTTTTAGTACATTTTTTAGTACATTTATGACCCTAATGTATTAAATGTTACATTTTGCCACCAGGTGTCAGTACATTTTAAATTTTCGTCGCGGCAACACTGGATCCGAGTTCCGACGAACCATTCGACCGTGACGGACGTGTTTTGATTTGGGTGCTTTCCATTGTATATTTTTGAAAGTGTTGCCGACTTTGACTGTGCATTGCGTCACACAGATGCGTGTTTGCGGATGAGCTCGTCTCGATTGTTCGTCATTTTGCACTTTTCGACGACTAGGGCTCTTATGACGCGCGTTATTGCGATGTAACGACGCCGTAGACGCAGGCGCCCGGCAACCGGTCGAGCAACGCCATTTTCGCGGGCATTGCATCACCCGTTCGTTTTCATATTTTTGTACGGTTTACTTTAAAGATGTGATCTATAGCCGCATCGACCTCCTATTTCATTGCTTGGAGGCTTGGAGGCGGGGGGGGGGAACCATTATTTAAGGAAGAAGAAGAGCTTTGCTTGTGTGTGCTACCAGTTGCGCCAGTCCGCCGACAGATGGCGCTACCGTCGAGTGCTGCAAGCGGGTTGAAAATCGCATCACTGATGCAGACTCTCAGAAGATGTAAGTTGTAAACCCTCATGATTGGGGTGCTAATTCTGTACATACACACTTCCCGAAGGTGTGTGTGTGTATGGTAAAGGTATAGAATACCAAACAAACCTCGATAGTGTCGGTGTCGTTATAACTTGCGTACATATTTTGTATAGTAAAAAAGCTACGCAATACAACTCACCAGCTATCTGTGGACTTATATAGAATAGTACTTTTTATCTACTTATCCTGTGTATACTATCTTTGCTTTTTTTTATAAATGAAGTATATTTTATTTATTTTTATATAGATTTTAAAGATATTTGACTAATATTAGTTAAAAGTATCACTCAAACATCAATTAGAATGAGTTAATAGCAGGTAGTATTATTCAAAACATTTTAATGATATTGCCATGTAAACTCCTAAAACCAACAGCAAAAAATAAAATAAATATTTTGACATAATGGTTTTATGTAGCAAAATGATAATTTTTTAACAACAGCTGGTTTTGTTATCTCTGATAAGTTTGATCGGTTAATTATTCCGTTGGAGCTAAGGTGTAATCCACTAAAGGTTTTGTATTGCGGTGTACAAATTTGGAACATTACTGAGCATTACTTAAAAAATTATATATTATAATAAGCAATATAAGATTATGCATTATTAAACATTGTAGAGCATTAATAGGCGTTACTGGCATTAGTATTAAAAATTAGATCATAGATTAAAAATTAGGCAATAATATTAAAAATTATATTTAATTTACTTGATGTATATAATTTTGGTTAGCAACTTATATTTTGTTTTAAACTGAGCAATAACATTTATCATTAAACAGAAGTTATCATAGTTGACACTTAATCGATGAAGCTAATCAGAGATGATAAAATCGATCTTAGTAAATCTAAATAAACTTTTACATGAATAAGTATCTATTTATTATTGTTTGATTAGTACATTTAATATCTATATATTTTATATAATATGTATATATACAAAATTTAAAATTTAATTAATAATTGTTATATTTAGAGTAATAGTTAATGGTTAGAAAATCTAAGTTCCTTCTTTTATTTCTTTTAGCAACAAAAAAGCCATTACTAGAGTTTAACACATGTCTTATCAAATTAGAAGATGAAGCTGTTAAAAGAGGATTAGATGATGATATTCTCAATGAGCTCGTAGATATTATTATACATATGGATTTAAGTCAGTATCTTGTTAATAAATATTAACACACATATAAGTATTTTATAAATTTAAAAGACTATATGATTTGAATATATATACTTGAATTAACTAAATTTTAAATTTATATTATCAGGTGCAGTCAAACAGGTATCACTGATAAAATGTCTCATTCCAAGATACAAATTACCTGAGAAAATAATGAAGACTATAATCAATTGGTATTTTTCTTCATTGAATAATTTGCCATTTACCGTTACTATAATTGTTATACAATGGATCATAGGTAATTTAGTTCTTAATCTAAGCTCTACTTGTATTTACTATACAGATATTTAATATATTGTTAATGATTAGGTATATGGGAATATGAATTAGTAGATAAAAAAGTAATCAACATCTATTATGACATCTACTTTTATATTATGCTCAAGAAATTGAAACTGGTAATGTAAACATTCTTTTTTATATAAATACTTTATATTTTATTTATTTTTAAGTAAAGAATGTAGAAATATAATTATTTCTTTAATATTATAGTATTAAGAAGCTTCAGTATAATTTTGACAATATAAAGAACATAAATTACTTAATTAAACGATCAATAACAAACATATGATTAACATGGATGTTTGTATATGTAATAAATTTTTTTTAGATTTATAATTATTAATGAAGTGAATTTTATCAATATATAGTAAGATTCACAATAAGATTTACTTTCTATTACTAAAGTTGTGGATTGATACAAATTATTAGAATTAATGATCAAGATTTAAAATCATTAATGAAGTGAATTTTATCAATAAGATTTATAATAAGATGTGATGATTTCTTTACATATGTTTCAACTACACAGTCTTCATCTCGGTATATTATAAGATCATTAATTCTAATAATTTGTATCAATCCACAACTTTAGTAATAGAAAGTAAATCTTATTGTAAATCTTACTATATATTGATAAAATTCACTTCATTAATAATTATAAATCTAAAAAAAAATTATTACATCTACAAACATCCATGTTAATCATATGTTCGTTATTGATCGTTTAATTAAGTAATTTATATTTTTATAATTTGAGCGTTTCTTTTCGATTTTTGTTAATATAAAGAACCTTGATATTTTAATATACATCTTTATTACATATAAAATCTTACTATATATTGATAAAATTCACTTCATTAATAATTATAAATCTAAAAAAAAATTATTACATCTACAAACATCCATGTTAATCATATGTTCGTTATTGATCGTTTAATTAAGTAATTTATATTTTTATAATTTGAGCATTTCTTTTCGATTTTTGTTAATATAAAGAACCTTGATATTTTAATATACATCTTTATTACATATTCAAGTCTAATGATTGAAGTATATCTCGCCTAAATTAAGCTTTAAATTAATCTAGTAGTAAAAAGTATTCTATATCATGTACAAATGTAAATTTCAGGGACGTTATATAGCACGTCTTATTTATGTATTAACAAAACCAGAAGATGTTTCACGCAAAGATGTCACAAGATTATTAACACTTCAGAAAAGTTACTCTAACCCTCCAACACATATTATTGCATTACTTTTGTAAGTATAATTGTACATATTTGCTTCAATGATAAAAATACTTATTGAACATGTTTATAGCTTATTTAAATCATATAAACCAGAATTAGTGCCTGAGAAAATAGCAGCAGTGAATATAGAAAGTGTGTGGAAACCTATTCCTGAAGTCATGCGATTAGCATTAGAAGATGCCAGAGATCGTGCAGAAATTCAACAATCTCATCAAAACTTTCAACCATTTTTTAAATGGAATGTGATGCAGGTATGAAAAAATGTATGAGTATAATATGATACATGTAATTATATGAATTTAATACAGATTATATAAAAGTTACTGGCTCTTTGCCCTTCTATATACTTTGTTATTTGTATAGAATTTAAAAATTAAGAAAAGAAAAGAGATGCTTCTACCAGCTATTGGTTATTTTCATATGGGTTCAAATATTTTTAAAGATAAAGATGCAAAGTCCATTTTTGATATAAATAGGTGAGTAATATAATCAACATATATTTTGTCATTTATATTAATATTAATGTACAATGTTAATATACAATATTTTATATGTATATATATATATATATATGTATATGTGTTAGCATAGAAGAGTTAGGAAAGTATCATCAGAATATTGAATTGCCTTGCAATGCTATTTCGCTTTTGGTAAATATGGTTGGTCATCATCTTCTTACATACGCAGACTTTCAGTATCAAAGTAGATTTTCGTATAATCTTTACAATACGCTTACAAGAGGTGTGTTTATCGATTTTCTTATTATTATAGAAAACTAATGTAAGCTATTTTGTAACTTTTTGCTAAACTTTACATATTTCAAAGCCAGTGTATTAATGTTTTAGCATTTATATTCGAAAATGGAAAGTTTTCTACGGAAGAAATGGATATATTTTTAACTACGACAGTTGAGTTTTCTCGATACATGCAGGAAGGAATACTTGTGGTCAAGTTGTTTTTTGATGAATATTTATATTATAATTCAGGAGAGCATTTGCTAAGGTTACTAGATTTGCTGCAATGGATGACTTCTATATCGGTGACTGGTAATTATAAAACTGTTCTAGCTCTTATACAATGTTAAAATATTAAATGAAAATATTATATTTAGATATATTTTCAGAGTTACGAGAAAACATTCTAATACATATACAAAATATATTTTACGAATCAAATTTAAATATGAAATGTGAAATAATTAGATCTGTACAGAAACTAATTACGAACTTGGTAAGGATTGGATTTATTTTCTCAATTTGTAACAAATCCATATCTTTTTAGTTAATCTTCCATATATAATTTCTATGTTTATTTAAAATCGTGCGTTAAGATAATAATATTAATCAAATATATACAAATTATATATATGTAAATATTGATTGCGACAGGAGTACACAAGACTCATTTTTTTACAAAATACAAATTACATTTACATAATTTATTTTCTTTACATATATATGTACATATAATTGTTACATTACTCTGACAATTTATTACAGTTTGTAAGACAAGGGCTTGAAGAACAGAATCAATATGCATCATCCTTTTTGCAACAAGATCGATTAGAAGATTTAGTAGAGATTGTACTTGCGATTACAACCATATTAGAAAATCTTATTGTTTGTGGATTGAACATACATAATTACGATGTTATATTGTTATCAGAATGTTTAGCATTTTATGAAGAGGTATATACAAAAATTATAAATAATGTAATTAAAATATTTAACTTAATTTTTAAGTATTTATTTGTGTTTCTTTCAAAGATTTGTACATTAGAAAGTCGTAGTTATGTATTATCTTGGACATTGCCACCACCAGCAGTCATCTATGGAGGATTTATTACGAAGAGTTGTGCTATCTTGTCAAGAATTTGTAAATTACTATTGAGGTATTTTTTAAATAATTCATTACTATTTAAATTAATTTAATTCTATATTATCGATATTTGAATTATTATAGATATTGTAAAATGAGTCCACATATGCGCCAGATTATGCCATTAAATATATATGCAGAAAGAATTCGTATTATATCTATTTATGCAAATGATATTCATAAATCATTATGGTATGATGAGGTATGTATGAACAAGAAATAAAAATGTTAAATAAATTTATTATTATATACAATAAGTAACATTAAAAGAATTGTTTACAGCCTTTTAGTGAAAATGGTAACCTTCTAAAAAATTTTTCAAAAAAATTACGCAGCGATTTAAGAGATTGTGATTTGGAGACTTTATTGAATATTAGCAATCATTATGCTATATTACCCTTCAAATGCACACTAAATATAAGTAAAACAAGCTTAAAAATAAATACAAAAGAGGTAAATATTAAAATATCTACTACAAATTTTTAACTTTAAGTTTGAACACCTAGTAACTTGTAATTTATTGTAAAGAAATATAAATTAATATATTAAAGAAAGTTTTAAATTGACTTCAATTTATTAAAAATAATAATTTAAAAAGAATAAAAGAAATTTGATTTTAGAAATTATACATATTTCAGAATTAGGAAATGTTACTTTTCGTATTAAACAATTTGATAATGTCGTTGCAATTTTTTATGGCTAAAGCCCATTCTATAATCCCGTAAATGTAGTTGTAAGTGGCTGTAGTTGTAAGAATTGACTAATCACGGTCGAACATTTTCTTCATATTGAACTGTGATTGATTAATTCTTACATCTACAATCATTTACAGCTACGCTTACGCAATTGTAGAATGAGCTTAACGTTAACTCTAAATCCTAAAGTTGTGCTAAGGTTGAAAAAATCACTTTTGAGAACTAATTTGTCACCATTATGCGCATTACTTACTGAAAAAAAATAATAAGTAACGAATAAAAAAGTAATGCATTACAATTAGGAATTTTTTTCGGTTATAAATAACGATTGACTTTTCCAACTCCGATATTATCATCATAAAAAATTCACAAGGTCATTATCAAATTGTTATTATAACAAGGTAACATTCAACAAAGTATTACAAGTAACACATTACTTCTCTATATATTATTTACTTTTTGAAAACATGTTGATTAAATTTTTTGTCACACATATACTTGTTCTTAATGACATTTTTATTAATTTTCTAGGCTGCTAAGACTATGGCTTCTTGTTATTTTCCGGCAGTAGATGAATTCCTCTCAGTATTTGATGAATAACTATCTCAAATTTTAGAAAAATGCTATAGTTTTTAATAATTTCTTAATATGTATTTATATGTATTGTGTATAAATTAGAAATTGTAAAAATCACACCAAAATTATTAAGCGCTAAAGTAATAATAAATGATATAGGGAAATCGAAAAAGAAATTATTATATTATTATACTGAAAATAACAAAAATCCTATCTATGAAAATGAAAATCTTGTAATAAAGACGATTTGTTACACTTATAGATCATATCTATCATCAACTACAAACTAATAATAGCGCTTGCTCGAACATAATTATAAATCTATATATAAATCTATTATATTATTACAAGAAAGTGTATTATTAATTAAATCTGAATCAGTTGTATATATCTATTTAAAAGAAAGTTTTTACATTTTAAATAAAACCATGAAGTATTTAAAAAAATTCTCTTGGCTTAGGCTTACAACATAAAACTGTCGATAAATTGGCAGAGGAATTGAATCTACCATCTTCACAATTGCTTGGTCTATTCAATCGTATAATACGTAAATCGATTCAGTATTTCAACAGAGTCGCGGAAAAATATATCGAAAGCACTATGTTGCCCAAAGAATCGAGTAATGGAGAAATAAAACTGGATCCTTTAGGTGGACAAAATTTACGCGAAGAATTAGAAAGCGCAGCTAAGGTTTGCAGTTCATAATTTATTCTCTAAATTTATGTAACTTAGATAAAAATACCATTCTTTGCAGTTCATAATTCATTCTTTAAACTTACGTAACGTAGATAAAAATAACATTCTTTGTTACAGGAATTAAAAATTAAACAAAAAGGAGAATTAGAAAAACTGAAGAAAGAAAATTTGGAGCAGTACGCTATCAAAGGATCAAGAGCAGAATGGACTAGTGCGTTATCGGGCAAGCATAGTAAACATCTTATCTCTATAAAGACTGGTGAAAAACGAGCTTCAGGAGATGATAGTATTCAAGAATCTGATAAAAAGCACACCAAAAAAAAAGAGAAACGTACATAAATTATGTATAACATGAAATAAATAAACGATTGACTAGTTTGTAAAAATAGCTCCACAAGTCTTTCGATTCATAATAAATTTATTACATAATCATTATAAATTATAATTAGAAAAATATATACTTATAGGTTTAATAAACATCACAGACATTTTCTTTATATTTTTAGCATTTTGTATCAAAATATATTAATAGCTAAAACTAGTTTGTATGTGTAAAATTGTTTTCGTATTTTTTTGCATAATTCATATTTCAGATCAATTTAAATCAAAGAAATTATTTTCTACAATATATTTTACACACTGGCAAATTAATTTTCTCCCATGTTGTATAGAACGCGAAAGCAATTTTTCCAATAACTGATTATGATATCTACGTAGAAAATATTTCTCATTTTTATTATTAACCACCGGTCGGGTGGTTCTTCAGAAATAACCACACGAGTCGCCACGTTTTATTTCCCGTTCCCGCTGTCGTTCAGTCACGAAGAATTGAATTTGATGATTACCAACTAGCACTGAAATTTATTTTGGAGATTCGAGATTGGAGATCTGAGATTTGAGATTGGTCTATGAATTCGGACCAAAATATCTGTATGATATGTTCCGTCAGGATAGTATTTTGTACACTCGTACCGACAATTATCGGTGTCGCTATATGTACCTTTGCGCAGATATTTCGCATAGTAAAAAAATTGCACAAAGGCAAATATAACAGCACCAACCACTGAGCTAAAGGTCTACTAATTTTTCGGAAAATAATCATATCGGATTTTCCGGATACGATAATATAGACACGTGCCAGGGTAGCGATCATGTAATTTCACGTGGAAAGTTTCACTTTTCACAATTCCGCTCATTCAGATTCCGCGTGAACTTTTCCGAGCGATCATGTATGAAGAAAAATATGAAAAGTAAAATCACTAAACATGTCACCACATCCATAAAGAAATACCATATTAGATATCATTATGATGATAAACTGCGACATCTCGATATAATTACCTTATTTTCCAATATCAAATATTTGCTCACACTTATTGAAATAATTCAATTAACTCACGCATATATATATATATATAAGACGTTATAGGTATTACTCGATCACTGCATTATAATTTCCTATATTTCCACCTTTCCGCTCACACATGGCTAACAAGTTCACGTGAAAACTTTCACGTTTCCATAGTTTGAAAGTTACATGATCGCTCAGTTCACGTGAAAGTTTTCACTTTTCACGATTCCGCCCTAGGGAAAAGTTACATGATCGCTGCCCAGTAGCCCTATTCTGTAACTCTTAACGTCGTTATCGTTACAAAGTCGTTGCGCAGATATTTCATACGATAAAAAAGCTGCGCAACGACACTGTAACGATATCGACACTGTCGTTAAGAGTTACAGAATAGGGCCTCAGGTATTTCACATACGTTCGAATAGACCGACTAGTGACAAAAATGGTTTTGCTACATACATGCTTTTCCATATAACATCCGTACGAAGTTTTCGGAAATCAATATGGAAAACATGATAGAATCATATACGGCGGATCGAATCCGAAAAACCGGGTTCAAAACTATAAGTGATCTGTGTGAAATTCCGTATATATTCATATAAAGCATGAATGTTTGTATATAAAGCTGAATATTCATATATAATACGATACAACGTCGGATGATGTTCTTATCGAACGGCCCTATAGAAAACGATAGACGAAGAATTACGGAAATGAAAAGTCATACAATACTATAAGTTTTCGGTCTTTTATACTGAAAGTCGTATCAATAAGTCATATATGATACATTAAAATTAGCGATATTCCTTTTCGTATTCTATCCGTTTTTTTTAAGCAGGGAAAGATTTCGGTCTTTTATACGGAAAGTCGTATCAAGTCGTATGTGATACATTAAAATTAGCGATATTCTTTTTCGTATTCTATCCGTTTCTATCGATTTTTTTAAGCAGGGATATACATATATACATCAGTATTGCAAGTCCATCTCCGTGCAACTGATTTTCTTCTGTTCATCTCCGTGATCTTCGCATCGTCATTTACCGTTTGGCCTAAAGGTAAACTATCAATTTCCAAGTACATACGTGCATTTAGTAATTATCGCTCTTTGGTACTATTGTTTGTACATTCATACACATATAGCAAATTTTACGGCGTCCGTGTTTCTGATATTGTCGATATTTAAACGTCATGAGCGATTATGTTATTAAATATACAAGATATTTTTACTAAATTGTCTATATACATATATATATATACAACATGTATATATGTAAGTATATATATATATATATCATGAGCGATTATGTTATTAAATATACAAGATATTTTAAAATAAAAATAATCGGTTATCTTTTAACCGATATTTAATAATCGATTATTTTTAACAATCTACTACTAATTCGGCTGAGGGGGGGGTAACCACTATCTGAAATATTATCCCATAGATATAGATTACATGATTTCATTTGATTTTATATAATTTTATTTAATGACAAATAATTTTCTATATATGCTATCATTTGATAAAATAAACGATTTTATTTAAATATTACACAATTATTTCTTGTAGTTGCATATGTAATTATCGAATTATATATCGGAATTTCATATAAATTTTATAATGATTTCAGGGACTCCATCCCACGATTTTACATTAAGTGATTACCCCCTCGAATTCGGCTCTTGATCCTAAATACATAAATCAGATATCTATAATTTATGTTCTATAAAGAATTCGAATTAGGACCGAAAGATTTATTATTATTGTTACTCACATATTAAATGGACTTATATATGTATACACACGATCATCATCTAATATCGATACAGTGTTCTCTCTCTCTCTCTCTCTCTCTCTCTCTCTTATTGGTAATTATTTTAATTTATTATACTTCATAAATAAATCAAGTTTATGCCTAAAGAATTATATTTTGCTTAAAGTAGGATGATTGATTACAGCTCACAAAAAAGTATTTTGTTTTTTATGAAATTGTTATAAAAATAAGACTAAAAAAATAGTATATCGAGACACTAAAAAAATCATTAACTTTAGAAAAGTAATTTGAAAAATTTGACTGCGTCTTCTAAGGAAACATTCCAGACATTATTAAGAGAAATAATTTAAATAAATTAAATAAGAGTAGAGGGTAACAGCTGTCTTTCAACATACAGTTACCTCTATATCGAAATAAACTGTAAATCGTCTAATTAGTGGTAAATTATAAATTTAAATGTTTAATAATTGTTAAACTCAGGTTACCCTAGATAACTATAAATGTTTGCACGGTGCCCGCATAATGCATGCATACGTGCAGTACGCATGCTGTAACTATATATCCATTTAACTCCGCATCTGATGATTATACAGAAATCTAATGCTGACCAATTTAATACTGAAGGTCAGTAATTAATTATTTATTTTAAGTATTAAAAGCACGCTGTTGTTTAATGCTTTTAGTACTCTAAGTAAGTAATTAATTATATATGTATAAGGATAGGTACTTGACGCTATCTTTTATTAATATATAATATATAAAATTTGTATTTTTATACAATTGAACCTGACCTATTCACGCAATAAGTCGTAAATTTAGTTACCTTCAATTAGTAACGTTGTTAATTCTTTTTAATCGATAAACTTTCCGAAGGTAATCCTTTTATGCTCATCCCAAAGATAAATCGAGGCTTTTCGATAGGCTTTTTTTATCAATTGTTATTATTTTTTCTAAGAAAATAAGCAGCATACAGTGAGGTAGTTTTAGTGCGTAATAATGATTCTGTAATCGGAAATTTTTATTGAATAATATACAAATAATGTAAATTTATAAAATTGTAGAATATATGTATAATACTTCATACATAATATACATGTATATTTTAACATTTAATTTTTTATACACGATAAAATTTATCTTCACTAAAGCTTTAATTTTACAGTAAATTTTTATAAGAAATGATGGTAGGTAAGTGGTAAGAATATTTTGAAAAATATAACATTTTTGAAATATAAATATGTTCTTATAAGAAAAAAGCTTTATGAAAACTTTTGCTTAAATCTTTGTACTTTTTATTAACGATATGTATTTTGAAATATTTTGAAGTTATTATTTTTTTTTCAAGAAAATATTTTATTTCTTGACGTACATAAGAACACTTAATTATAATAATAATAATAATAAACATTCATATTTTTAACTATATTACACAAATCTATTTAGAACTCACCAAAATCGAAAAAATTGTATATGCTTTTTGTGAGGTATTTTAAAGATCATTTAAATAATTAGAAAGACGTATGTGTATAATCATTGAAACTAGTTTAATATAAGTTTCAATGAACACATTGATCGCAAAATGTTCAACACAAATAAATGAAGACCGCTATATTCGGTCGAAGCGTGTCTTTTTTTGTATCTAACATTTATATAAATTTTTACAATTCCCAGTTTAAGCAGACTGCGCGCTGATTATTTGTTGATCTTGAAATAAAGACTAAAGTTGGAGTACATAATAAATTATAAAATCGGAAATTCACATGTAAAAATTCACATAAAATATTATTAGACACACCACTTATTTGTAGTAAAACTTAAAATAAGTTAAAAGATTTTTATATGAAACTTATGGAATTTATGCGGCGCATTGTCATGAACAAAATTTAAAATTAATAATAATTTGAAGATTTATTGGTCCCAACTAACAATGAATAAATCAAATCCTAAATTAAAGTCTAAATGATTTGCTTAGGAAATACTTAAATAACTTGCACTTTTAAGTTAAGTAGATTTTTTTTATTTGTCAGCCCTTTCAGTATAATGACATAACACACATAAGTCAGGAATAAAAAAAAGAATTCATCATACGAGAAATTCGCGATCGGATAAATTAATTGAGATACCAATACGATCCTTCGAACTTAGCTCCGGTCATTTTTCTAACGCAACGAAGTGTAACGCGGAACGACGCGAGCTCCGAACAGGTGAATGAGTAT